AGAAATATAATTGCACAAGCTACTGAAAAAACACAAAAAGAAAAAGAAAAAAAAAAGAGCACAACAAGAAACACGCGACATTTGACTAACCATAGGTTCTACAACGGTTTGTCCAATCCTTACAATTTTTTTTAAAACAGTGTTACCGATTTGTGAGCAATTTTGTCATTTGAAATTACCGAAAAAAATTTGTCATTTGAGATTAACCAGGATCGGAACAGCTTCTTCCGTGAAATGCGACACCTTCTTCAGTTGCCCAGCCTGGCAATCTTCCTTCATGCGCAGTTCATGCAAGTTGTAACGCATAGTCAGTTCATGCAAACAACGATTTAATGAAATCCAAAGTCAATGACCGCATAGTCATTTCGGCAGATCCATTAGGCTAACTAACATGAATGAATTACCATATGGTATGGGCTAACATTAAGAATGGCGGCCAAGAGGACACCGAACAATTAAAACTTCAAAGAGTTGGAAGTCGGACAGCATGTTTCCTTCTCTCGTACTTCTTTTTTTTGGTAGGAAAGTGGGACGCTAAAAGGGCGCCCCTGCCTGAAACTTAGACCTTCTCTCGTACTTCGATTTCATGGTCATTGCTCTGAGTTACTACTACTATTAAATCTAACCAACCAACAAATCAATCGGGCTCCTTAAAAGAGCCAGCCAGCCACCGGCCAAAAATCAGACCCAGTCCAACATACGACTTCTTCAGCCGCTGGCCTCCGACCACATTAATTGCCCTTTTCATTTTTTTTCCAATCCTTTCATTTGCCAGTTGCCACCATCTTTAGGGAAAATACTAGAGCAAAGGCTACAGAGCAGTTGCCACCATCTTTAGGGGTGTGCCTGTGACAAGAGATACCGTTAAAATTTGGAAAAACGATTATTCAACTTTTGATAGTAGTTTGCGTATGGATGAAAAACATATTTAAGTGGTCTAAAAAAATTGTATTAAAAAAATTAAACCTAAATGCTAAAGAAATTAATGAACCGCATTAAAGGAGGACTCGTTTTCTTATTAGAATTTTTTTTTAAAACCATATAACATGATGTAGTATTTGTCATGTATTTTCTATAGAAAATAAGAGCAGATATATTGTAAATGTATCATTATTTGGATTATTAAATTTGTTGCTTCAATTTTTTCTACTTTCAACTCTCTAAAGTGGAAAAAGAATTCAATTTTGTCATTTAGTTTGTTTGTACCAGCAAGGCAACAATGCTAAATTAATTAAACCATTTTCAAGAATTTATAAAAGTTTGACCAGAAAAAGGCAAAAGTTAGTAACGAGAAAAGGAAAAAAAAGTAAATCGATTGTAAATAGTTTGTACCAGACTTAACTTTAGTTTTAAAGATCATAAGCTTCTTCTATCTAATATTTTTTTCTCAAATATTTTTCATGCTCTTTGATTTATCTAAAATCATTATGCTCTTCTACTCAATGGATCATCATCCATTCATGTGAGTCTTGCTAATTGATTAATTGTCAATTTAGTTACTATTTGGATTCTGATACTTTATTTCATCTTTCTATTTGAACCATTATCACTCTTAAATTTACATAAATATTATTTTAAAAAATATTGTAATTTTATTTATTGATTTATTTATATTTAATTAAATTTTAAATAAAATTTGGGCCTCGTTTTATTTATAGGACAAGGACTATACATTCTTAGGGACGGCCCTACTACGTACAGAGTTGCAACGTCCATATTCCATAGGCACAAAAACCCCGCGTTGCAGGTTGGAAACAATAGAACAGCATGAAACCGTACCGGAAGTTATACCGGCTCCGCTAGTGGTAGGGTATTTTGTGGTACTACCGTGGTTCAATCGTTGTGTACCGACAAAATATCGTTTTTATAATTACATAATATTTTTTTTTTTAAAACCGTACCGGCAGATTTGTGATACCATTTCGGAATAATACCGGAATAAAACCGGAATATACCAGATAACAAGAAGCATTATTAATACCATCATGTTTATTTAGTCAGCATTATACAAGAATTGGGCATATATGAATCATATACCACAATCGGAATACATAATAAACACACACAACAAAATTTCCAGAGCAAAGAATCTCCAGAGCTATGCCCGATCGCAGCTGCATACACAAAATACTCAAAAAAATTCTTTTCCATTTCATCATTTTAATCACTACTACTACTACTAAAGGAACAAAACAACAAAAGATCGATCTCGAAAACCCCCTCAATTCCCCGTCTCTGCAATTTTCACCTCGACCATCAATCAACAACACGTACAGAACAGCTCTGTTTTTTTTTTTTTTGGGTAAAGAGAAGAGAAACATTGGATGTGGCTATTTGGGTTCTCGACAACGAACCCGCGAGGCCTGTGGATGCTGGGCCTGGGGGCGATCGTGATGGTGGTGGCGGTGACGATGGTGCTGCGGTGGGTCGGGGAGTACATGGAGAAGCAGGCGGTGCGGCGGGAGCACCTGGCGGAGATGGAGCGGCAGCACCGCTACCACAAGAAGAAGGCGATGATGCGGATGTGGATTGTGGAGCTCCGGCGCTTCCCAAATAACCTGCCTCCGGTTAGACCAAAACTGGGCGGCATTTCGGTTTAAACCGTTTAAACAGGTTTTACCGGCCGGCACGAAATTCTGCCTACACACATGCTACCGTGTCGCCCGAGCTCTGGTTTCCGATTTTACCGGTTCAACCGGCCGGTACGATCCGGTTTCCTTTACCATGTAGAACAGTAGTCACTAACTCGTACTACCTATCCATAATAGTCAAAAAATCATATACATCGATGAACCGTATGCATAAGCCGAAAATAATAAGATGTTTAGAGGCCTACAAGATCTTTCGTCTACCCTACTCGTAATAGTGGATTAAGTCAAATGAAAAACAATGGCTTAATTGCAAGTTTGGTCACTAGAATTACTTAAAAATTTCATGTTTGCCACTAAAATTAATTTATTCCAACCGTAGTCACTTAAATTAGGTTAACAGATCAAGTTTGGTCACTGATCGTTAGTCTTCGTTACTTTTGCTGATGTGGCAGTCAACTCTTATAGTTGACCGTTAAATAAGTGATGTGGCAATTAAAAAATAATAAATTTTTTTTTATTTTCCAGCTAATTATTATAAATTAAAAAATGAAAATCCTAATATTTTTAATTTTTTTTTTCCACCGCCAGCAGCGGAATGCCGAATTGGTCTCCGTCCTGAAATTTTTAAGTAATTCTAGTGACCAAATTTGAAATTTTTAAGAGAAGAGCTCTAGAAGGAAGATTTGGATTTATACCAGGACTCTATTTTGCAATACCTGGAAGAATGTTATTGCAATAATGAAAAATGAAAATTTCTTAAATTTCATAGAGAATACTGTAATGATTTTCTCGACAACTGTTAAAACATTAATGTGGTTACTTCTGCGGTAGCGTTCTATAGTTGCCTGTCTTAACAACATGACCTATGTTTACCTAGATCTTTTGGATGACAAAAAAAATTTGATGCGCAATAGCAACACTGGTGGGGCTTATGAGTTGAATAATTGTTGTTGGATTTTCTGTTCTTGTCAGCTTCTTTAAATAAATTTAACTTAGAATGATGTTATTGTGAACTTATGTTGGATTGAGTTGATTATGGATTGACATTTATGGTAATATTTTTATTCAATAATAAAAACATAAAAAGAGAACATATATGTATGTAGGAACAAAACCTACAAAAATGCACAATTGAAAATCGAGACCTTCAATTAGTTGGGTTGTGGAAACCGCCTATACAATTAAGATTAACTGATTTAATATAAAGTGTGCTATTAAAGATAAGTACAAAACAATTAACCAATAGTAAGGCTGAAAATTTGTCTATCCCGTCTTTGACCCGTCCTTGAAGGGTCGAGATGTATAACTGATCCGTCCGCTTCCTGTCTCCTTCTTGATCCTGTCTAACCCTCTATGGTTGGGACGGGCCGGGTCAGTGAGTCGACCCTTATCAACACACTACTTTTTTAGAAATTACGTTTTGGTACCTAAAAATAATTCATCTTTACAATTTAGTACCTAGTTTTTTTTACAAATAAGTCCATAAATTTTGAGGGTAAAATTACGTTTTGATACCCAATTTTTTTTATTTTACAAGTTAGTACCTGAACTGTTAAAATTTTACAAAGAGGTTCAATGTGGTATGAGATATTTGTTGTAGCTATGGGTCACAAGGTCAAAAAGTGACTCGTCCCGACCCTTACAAGGTCAACAAATGACCCGTCCTTAATCTAACGTTGTAGACAAACTGACCACCTTTACAGCCTGTTTGGATAGACAAAAAACTCAGGAATTGGAATTCCATTTTCAATTCCAGTTCCATATTTTATGTTTGGAAGGATAAGATGGTTGAGAAATGAATTCCATTTGGGCTAAGTTTTGGGAATTACGGGATCATTTGGTTTTGGTGATAGTTTGGTTGGGATAGTTATAATGCATGCAATGTCCACAATGCATCGTTTTTCTGAATTTTATGCGCAGACAATACATGCATTGTTTGCTTGATTTGACACAAACTATCACTCAAAATGAGTGATAGTTAAATCTCAAGTTTTCGTTGAGATTATTTGATGGAGATTGTTGTGTTTTCTTATTCTTCCAAATATGTCCCTACCTTTTTATGTGTGTTGCTTTTTTATATTAAAAACAAAGGGTAAAAGAGACATTTCACCCAAAAAGTGATATAATTTATTTAAATACTACAATAGCTATCACAGAAATCAAACGATGTAAACTACAATACACCAATTTTCTTATATACATATATTATTATACATGCATTGATGATAATACATCAATTTAACTATCACCAAAACCAAACGTGATAGGAATTGGGTTTATGAAAATGGAATTAGTGGGTCCCATCACTATTTATTATTATTTTATTAACCAACTATCATCCTACTCTCTTTCTCTATCATTCATATTCCATTTTTCAAGATAAAACAAATATATTACATTATTAATTATTGTTAAAAGTGCAATTCATTTTTATAGTTGTAGGAATTATATCAAACACTAAAATTGGAAATAGAATTCTATAAAAATAGAAAATGAAAATAGAATTACATTTCCATTTCTTTTTGAACTGTATCCAAACAAACCGTTAAAGAAAAAACGGATCAGTGAGTCTTCCAGTTCAAGCTTACGCCTTAATCAATAGTGACTAACAACCTGACATAATCTCAAGACCCCCGCATCTGCTAATTATACAAAAAGAAAAAAAAACCCATTATACAAAGTAGAGGGCTGGTATTCGAATTCGAAACGTGTATGAAAAGAAACCCCAATTACGGATTTTGTGACAAAGGTAATGACGGCGATAGTCTGTTCAAAGTTCCGAGTCGCCGGCGTCACCGGGAGAAAAATACAACCGGGAAGCCCAATCCTTGAGAATCTCCATCAATCCTCGCAAATCGTTGCTCCCAACTTCAACACAGTCCCTCAGCAATCCACCCTGCACCACCTCCTTCTGCACCGTCTCCAACGCTTCCTTCAACGCCCCCTGCCACACCCGATCCGACCCGACCCAACAAATCAGACTTCAAGACAAACCGATTTCATCAATCAAACCTGGGAAAATTGGGGAAATCAAAGTTTTTTTTTTTGGTACCTTCTTGTTGAAAGTGTTCAACATCCTCCGCAGCGCCGATTTCGCAGTCTTCGCCAAGTTGCCGTAATTTTGCGCCGCCCAAGCCACCCTCTCCGCGTCCGATCTGGCCGAGGTCAGCCCGCCCAGAACCGAAATCAAGTCGTTCAGATCCGAAATGGCGCCCAGCAGCTCCCTGTACTCCAAATCCCTCCACGCGTAGTTGCTCACATAGTCCCACCCAACCGACCACGCGAACCCCCAGACTCCAGATTCAAGTCCACGCTCCAGCTTCTCCGCCATCAGCCTGGCCCGGTTCGCGCCGGAGACGTCGCCGCGGGCGGCGCGTAGGTTGGAGACGCGGCTGAGGAGGGAGTGGGACAGCGAGACGGCGGTTTTGTAAGAAGTGTAGGATGACGGGAAGGAGAAAGCTGGTGAAGCGGTGGCCGGGGAGAGGAGGAGAAGAAAGAAGAGGAGGAGGAGGAAGGGAGACGGCGGTGGTGGTGGATCCATCTAGGCCGTCTGTTGATTGACGGTTCCGTTTTCGCTCGAGAAGAATCTCATAGAGCGTGCGAGGATTTCAATTAATATCGAGTGGGCTTCTTGCCGAACGAGTTAGAATAGGCCCGTGTTAGTGGTTCTCGATATCTGGGCTCATGTTGGCGCTATCGGCCTTTTAAATTTAACCCCATCATAGTTCATGGGCTTTTTGTGGAAAAGAAAAGTGTAGAGGCTGTAAATAAGTCCGAGTCATTGTTGAGTTTTTCCTAGCTCGATCGCGATTTGCTAAGAAATGGTGGATCCAGCTCGATTTTCCTTGTGTCGATTTGTTGATTCATGATGAGCATTAATAAATGGATCGAGTTTGAATTTCGTTTGTTTATCAAAATCTTAGCTCTTGTTTGTCTCAAAGTCGACTCATCAATGTATATCTGAGTTTGAAGATGTGCTACCAAGAACTTACCTACACATAGAGTGTCTATGTATTGGTGAATTGTGATAACACATGGAAACTTTAGGAAGTGGTTCTCAAAAACTCCTTAATTATAAAAGAGTGTGCCTAGTATGTAAAATTTCACCCTATTTTATTTTGGTTGCGCCTTGATTGGTGTCTTGGCCAAACCTATAATCATACTGAAATCCTAATATTTGAGAAAGAGAACTAGGGTTCGTCAGAGAGACGAAGGTAAAAAGAAAAGAGAACGATGGAAATGTTTCAGAGTGAAGAAGAATCTCGATCTTCTTCTGGGTATAAGCAGATTGAAAAGATTGGGCCCAGAAATTGGATTAGCGACCCATTGACTAAATAGGCAAGAGCCCGCTTATTTCTTGTTTCTGTAGCCCATAAGTTAAGCCTGCTCACTTCAGTTGGAACTCGTCTTCAACCTTGAGACGAGACTAGTTCCAGAAGCAGGGGGAATGAAAAAAAAAAAAAAAAACAGAGACAGAAGCAGAAGGAGAAGTTCAGTTCGTGCAGCAGGAAAAGAAAGAACACGGCCAAGTTAACGAGGTTCCCCAAGCTACGGGTACGTCCTCGTCCTAGACTCAGTACTTCACTGAGATCTAGGAGACTCTTTTTATTTGATTATTTTCCTATCAAGCAGCTTGACACAAACGAAGACTCGAAGAAAGTACAAGGGAAGTATTTCAGCCCGGATCCCTATCCCTGACCCGTTACACCGTTAATCCTTCAGACCCTATTCCTCTGAGGATTAACCCAGATTGTAAGCAGCCCTTTTCCACCCTTACAAAAAGTGCATTCATAGATGCAGAGCACCACTGTATATATAGCCAATGGCAAGCTTTTGACCGTTGCACTGAGAAATCAAACATAGACTAGACTTGGTAATTCTGTGCTGTCACTGACTGTCTTCTTTCCTCTTTTGACGCAACTCTGATTTGGTAACTTGGTTCTACAATCTCCCCTTAAATCAGAGATTGCCAATTGCCTGCAAAATGAAGAGGCCTTCTCTCGACCAAACTTATGAAAGAAATACTAGGGAAGAATTAAGCATAAAAGTTCAATCACACAGAATCCAGCAATTATCCAAAACAATCATCCAGCAAAAACCACACAGAATCCAGCAATCATCCAAAACAATCATCCAGCAAAAACCAAAGTCAGAACCACCAACAGAAATAACAAAAAGCTCCAAAGATCGACAGTACTTAGAAAAAAACAGACAAGAGTAGCGAGATGTCTGATAAAGTGCTTTTAGGCGCTGTCACCGTCAGCATCAGATCCATATTCTAGCAGAGTTTGGAGGGATTCGACAAAGGGCTCCAGTCCAGAGTCATCGCTGCTGCTGCTGACCCAGATGACGTCCTCCCCTTCAACAGCTTCCTCCCCTTCAATTGCAATCTCCAGTGCATCCAGAACAGCGCTCGCCGGTGGGAACAGAGAGGGTGTGATGGTGATAAATGGTGAGAGGTGGATACGAAGCTCAAGGAGCATAGAGGTGACCAGAGGACCCAAGGCAAATGGACCAGTAAAGGAGGCATCACTGGATCGCATAAGACTGCCAAACACTAAATGAGCATAATCTAGGGGGACTCCATGAACAGCATGGGATATGATCCAAAGATCGACCGGAAGAACAAAGTTCAAGGAGTCAGCACGAGGGACAAAGACTCGAGTGATGCAGTAATGCAGCATCCGAAGAGAGGGCAGCAGAGAGGAGACAGGCATAATATGGTTGGGGGCTGGCAACACACCGGTGAGCTGATGAAATTCTTCAGCATATTGAAAGGCAAACAGTTCCAACTCAGAGGCATCAGCCAGAGCTTCTCCAACTCGAGGGATATGAAGCGTATCCGACAGATCATCGAGAGGGAGAGTGAGCAGATGGCCAAAAACAATAGTAGAGAAGGAACGAGAGGCAAGGCCGGGTGAGCGAAAGTTTGAGAAGAAGTAGCGGACTAAATCCGGACAGACCAAGGAGGAAAAAGGGTGATCAAGCAGAAACTCCCAACCCAAGTTTTGAATGAACCTATGCACATCAAGTCCCAGTTCCACTAGTTCAGGAAAGGGAATGTGATATGAGGCCAGAAAAGGACGAGAGGCAAAATTTTGAAGGTGACGATGGTAGTTAACAGGGATAGGCTCGAAGAAAAGAGTGCCAGTGTAGGTGATTGCAAACACCATGTTTAGGAGAAGGGCAAAGACAACGATACGAGGGATGAAGGGATAGGAACAGTCAAGACCCGGGTTAAATACTAGAGAACAAAACAAGGAAGGGAAAGACACTAAATGCAGTAAATCAAAGAGTACAAAATTGCAGAAAGAATCATAAACAGTTAATGCTACGCCAGACACACACAGAAAACCAAGAAGAAAAGAAAGGAAAATAAAAACGCAAAAAATAAAAGAAAAGGAAACCAAGAGGAAAACTTACCTTCCTATCATCTCGATTAGAGATGATAAAGATCTCAACCCGATCTCAAGACACAAAAAGGTAAAACGATCAGCAGCCAAAGGTTTGGTAAAAAGATCTGCTAATTGAAACTCAGAGGGTATGTATTGTCATTCTCAAAAAAAAAAAAAAGAGGGTATGTATTGCAGCGAAATCAAATTGTCATGAACAAGGTCTCGAATAAAGTGATATTTCACCTCTATATGTTTAGTGCGAGAGTGTTGAACCGGGTTCTTAGCCATACTAATGGCACTGGTGTTATCACAAAATAGAGGTACAGAAGAAACATTATGCCCATAATCAGTGAGCTGATTTTTGAGCCATAATAGCTGAGTACACGAGCTACCAGCTGCAATGTACTCTGCCTCCGCTGTTGACAGAGCAACAGCACCCTGTTTCTTACAGGACCAAGACACAAGGGAAAGGCCTACAAACTGACAACTACCAGTAGTACTTCTACGGTCAGTAAGGCTACCAGCAAAATCTGAATCGCAATAACCCATTAGATCAAACAATTCTTGCTGACCATACCAAAGACCTACATCTGATGCCCCTTTAATATATCTAAAGATGCGTTTAATAGCAGTGAGATGACTTTCTTTAGGTTGACATTGAAAACGGGCACATAAGCACACACTATACTGGATATCTGGTCTGCTAGCAGTTAAGTAAAGAAGAGAGCCGATCATGCCTCGATAAAGGGTTTCATCTACTGGAGTTCCAGCTTCATCCTTGTCCAGTTTAATATTGGTTGCCATAGGTGTGGGACTGGTATTGAGGGCAGTCATATCGAATTTGCTTAACATGCTAGAGATGTATTTGGATTGATTGATAAAAATGCCACTAGATGTTTGCTTAACTTGTAGACCTAAGAAGAATTTTAATTCGCCCATCATGCTCATTTCAAACACATTTGTCATGGACTCACAGAACTCTGAGCACAGTTTTTCATTTGTGGATCCAAACACAATGTCGTCAACATAAATCTGAACAAGTAAGAGATCACCTGAAACCTTTTTAATGAAGAGAGTTTTATCAACAGCTCCCTGTGTGAAGTTTTCTTGCTTAAGATATGAAGTTAGGCGTTCATACCAGGCACGAGGGGCCTGTTTGAGCCCATATAGTGCTTTATTAAGCTTAAAAACATGATCAGGGAACTGATGATCAGTAAAACCAGGCGGTTGTTCAACATAGACATCCTCCTGAATGACTCCATTTAAAAAAGCACTTTTAACGTCCATTTGAAAGAGTTTAAATTTCATATAACTGGCAAAAGCACATAGCAATCGGATTGATTCAAGACGCGCCACAGGGGCAAAAGTTTCATCGTAGTCAATACCTTCCTCTTGTAAGTAACCTTGAGCCACTAATCTGGCCTTATTACGAATGATAATTCCCTCTTCATTAGATTTATTTCTAAAGACCCATTTGGTTCCTAACACATTAGTATTTTCTGGGCGAGGAACCAAGTCCCAAACATGCAGATAAGCAAATTGGTTCACCTCTTCAACCATAGCAATAGACCAACCATCATCTTTTAGAGCTTCTCTATAGTTTTTGGGTTCTACTTGAGAAATGTAAGCATACTGACCTGGAGTGTATCTGTTTCCTCGAGTTTGGATTCCAGCATGAACATCTCCTATCACTTGTTCCACTGGATGGCGTTTCTGAATATAAGGAGGTGCTGCAGGCAGAGATTCGTTTATTGTGTCATTTTTCTGCGTCTTATCAGCCGCTTCTGCCTGAGAATTCTGATCAGCAGATGCTTGCACATTGATCTGCTCTTTGAGTGGGCCATCAACAATAGCTTCATTATCGGATGTTTCTCTTGTCAATTCCAGTAGATCAAATGACAGTAAATCCTGTCCAGAAACCTTAACACCACCATTAGAATCATTAAATTTAACATGAACTGACTCTTCCACCCTTTTTGTTCGTTTATTATACACACGATATGCCTGTCCTTTGATGGAGTATCCTAGGAAAATAGCATCATCAGACTTAGCATCGAATTTTCCAAGGTACTCTTTAGTGTTAAGAACAAAGCAGGGGCACCCAAAGGGATGGAAATAACTGATGTTGGGTGCTTTGTTTTTGAAAATCTCATAGGGAGTTTTCATTAGCCCTTTTCGAACAAGCACTCGATTTAGGATATAACATGCTGTGCTGACAGCTTCAGCCCAGAAAGATTTTGGCAGATTGTACTCAAGAAGCATTGTGCGAGCACATTCAATAATAGTGCGGTTTTTCCTCTCAACAACTCCATTTTGCTGAGGAGTGCGAGGAGCTGAAAAACTGTGAGTTATCCCAGAGTCATTACAAAGACTCTCAAACTCCTCAGACACAAACTCACCTCCATTATCACTCCTTATACTCCTAATTTGTCCTAGGTACTGTTTGACAAACATTTGGAACTTCTTTACTGCCTCATCCTTATGAGCAAGAAAGAAAACCCAAGTGTATCGTGAATAATCATCTACCAGAACCAACACATAGTTTTTACCTCCCAGACTAGTTACATTGCATGGTCCAAATAGGTCCATGTGAATTAACTCAAACATTTGATGAGAGGTTATATCAGTTTTGGGTCTGAAAGTTTTCTTAGTGTGTTTTCCAGCAATGCATGCCTCACAAAAGAAATCAGTTTTCTGTTTCAACATAGGGACACCTCTGACACATTCTGATTTGGATAAGCTAACAAGTTTTGGTAAACTGATGTGTCCCATCTTGCGATGCCACAACAGCTCTTGTTGGTATGAAGCAACAAAACACATTTCATGAAAGGCTTCAAGGTTATGCAGGTCTATGATATACATATTGTTTACTCGACTGCCAACAAGCAGAACCTTGTTGTCGTTTATCCTTTCAACTAAACAGGCATCAGATTTAAAGACTACTCGATTTCCATTACTGCAAAGTTGACTTATTGATAAGAGATTGTGTTTTAGACCTTTCACAAGCAGCACATCATGAAAAGTAGGGTAGGGGGATCCTCCTATAGTACCAATTCCCACGATATTACCACAACCATTGTCACCAAACATAACTTTACCACCATCTTTAGATGTTAGAGAGGAGAATAGTTCTTTCTTACCAGACATGTGGTGTGAGCACCCGCTGTCTAAATACCATTTATGATCATTTTCATCTGAAATGTAGTCTTTTGATTGATTTGTGCTTGCCATGAAGGCTTCTTCATCTACTGAGTTTTCTCCCTCAGACTCATAATCACTCCATGATGCCTTCATTGCCCTTTCCTTAGCTTTCAGGGTTAATGGACAGTTTGCCCGAATATGCCCATTTTTGCCACACTTGTAACAGGCTTGAGGATCTTTCTCCTGTGTACCTGTCTCAAATTTTCTGGTCTGCTGATAAGGCAGCCTAGCTTGAGAATAATTATTAGTGTAATCCTGACCTTGCTTACGTAATTCATCAGATCTCATTCTTCTTTCATTTTTGTATTTGAGCATGCGATGAAACCGTTTGCTTACAAGAGCAAACTCTTTGTTGAAGTCTGAATCTGAATCACTGTCAGATTCATGATCTACCACTTTGGATTTAAAAGCCAAGTTTTTCTTCCTTTTATCATCGTCCTGATTTACTTGTCTAATCACATTTTCATGACTCAATAAGGACCCTATTAACTCATTTATGGGTAAGATGGCTAGATTTTTTGCTTCCTCGATTGCAGTACGCTTTGGCAACCATTCCTTAGGTAAAGACCTAAGAATCTTCCTATTGAGATCTTTAGTTTGAAAAGTTCTTCCTAATCCCTTTAATTTGTTAATTAGGACGGTGAATCGTGAGTACATTTCATGAATGCTTTCGTTATTCAACATCCCAAATGCCTCATATTCATGAACTAATAGATCAATACGAGATTCTCTAATATTTGACGTACCTTCGTATGTGCTTTCTAGGGCCATCCAGATTTCTCTGGCTGTCTCACAGTTCTCGACTTGGTCAGCTTCATCTGGGTTCATGGCTGATTGGAGCACATGCATCGCCCGTTGATTTAGCTGCGCGCTTTTCTTCTGAGCAGCAGACCATAGATGCTGCTCCTCTACCTTAGCATCGATTGGCCCATCCTGCACAATTAACCACAAATCCTCATCAATACCCCACATAAACTGTTTCATCCTCTTCTTCCACGCGGTATAATTCGAACCGGTGAAAATTGGAGGATGATTTAGTGTGGCTTGGCCGAAAGATGAAGAGGCCATTTGATCTTTGCCTTGGCAGGAGCTACCTTCCTCAAGGACCAGCTCTGATACCAATTGAAATCCTAATATTTGAGAAAGAGAACTAGGGTTCGTCAGAGAGACGAAGGTAAAAAGAAAAGAGAACGATGGAAATGTTTCAGAGTGAAGAAGAATCTCGATCTTCTTCTGGGTATAAGCAGATTGAAAAGATTGGGCCCAGAAATTGGATTAGCGGCCCATTGACTAAATAGACAAGAGCCCGCTTATTTCTTATTTCTGTAGCCCATAAGTTAAGCCTGCTCACTTCAGTTGGAACTCGTCTTCAACCTTGAGACGAGACTAGTTCCAGAAGCAGGGGGAATGAAAAAAAAAAAAAAAAAACAGAGACAGAAGCAGAAGGAGAAGTTCAGTTCGTGCAGCAGGAAAAGAAAGAACACGGCCAAGTTAACGAGGTTCCCCAAGCTACGGGTACGTCCTCGTCCTAGACTCAGTACTTCACTGAGATCTAGGAGACTCTTTTTATTTGATTATTTTCCTATCAAGCAGCTTGACACAAACGAAGACTCGAAGAAAGTACAAGGGAAGTATTTCAGCCCGGATCCCTATCCCTGACCCGTTACACCGTTAATCCTTCAGACCCTATTCCTCTGAGGATTAACCCAGATTGTAAGCAGCCCTTTTCCACCCTTACAAAAAGTGCATTCATAGATGCAGAGCACCACTGTATATATAGCCAATGGCAAGCTTTTGACCGTTGCACTGAGAAATCAAACATAGACTAGACTTGGTAATTCTGTGCTGTCACTGACTGTCTTCTTTCCTCTTTTGACGCAACTCTGATTTGGTAACTTGGTTCTACACATACAAGTACCTAATCAACTATAGCCAGTTAAGCGTGTACATGTAAGTTTTGATATCATTGTTATTTATTTCCTAACATTATGGCTCACCATGTTCAAAGTTAATATATGCATTCTTATGTCGTGGGACGACAGAATATTGATTCATATAAATATTTTTTAAAATACCAGATAACGAATTTAAAATGGTAAATAATTTAAAACGGTACGAAACGATTGAACCACGATTTTATTACAAACATTTCCAGTACACATTCTGATACGGTTTCACAATCATGCAACAAACAAAGAAAGTTCCGTAAAGATAAACAATACGACAGACAGAAGAAAGATTAGGTCGAACGTACGTATTACATTTGAGATCGATGGAACGTAGGGAAGGATGGATGACTTCATATTATACGTTGTCAGGGTTCGGAGAACGAGTAAGTCTCGTACCTGAGGTGACAACTCGCCTTTTCTCCAGTTTCCAGCTCCGCCCATATCAGAGCGTCGGCTCCCACCCGTCGACTGCAATTGCTCAGGACTGTCATCCTAGCTGTCTCCAGACACGAGGCGGCGCCACCATCTGGAAGGTTGTGAACCTTCCTGGAACCATACAGAACCGGATCATTTGATTTGGAAGAGCAGGTCGAATTCATCACCAGGCTAGCATCCCTAGGATAAAATGCAGTCGGCATAGCCAAATGGTGAAGGAAACCATTCAAACAAGGGATTCGACGATCTCCAGTCGGGAAAGACTCCTTTTTGCAGCCGACTTCGTAGTGGTAGCCAACGGCGAATGTGAGATTTTGGCACAGATGAGGTGCGAGCACAAGTAGTGAGCATAGGATCATGATCATCTGATCTCTCAACTTACGCGCCATATCGGTATTCTTATTGGTGAGGATCGGAGGACTCTTCTATATGTGTTGCGATATATATCAGTTTATTGCAATTAGAATTCGTTTATAGTATAATAAATTAATTTTATGTCAATTTATGAATAAGTAATGAGTTGTACTGTAGTGACAAAAATACTCTAATACTACATATAGCCGTTGTTTTGCATCACCAATATACATATATATGAGATATTTTTGTTATTCCGAAATTTACCTCCCTCCGCCTATGCCTTTTGTCTTTGCTCCAGAGACGATGGAATCGATGGAGTCAGGCGGTGGCACCAAAGGTTCGGTTCGCCTTCTGTTCGTTTGTAATTTAAGCTGTTACGTTTAGTGGGTGATTCTCGCTGGTTTCAAAGTGATCTGCCGCGTTGACGTAATTCCAGTTCGATAAGTAATGCCAAATGCTCGGTGTTGAAATGAAGTGTTCTGGAGAATGGATATTGGTCTGGCCAATGGAGGAAGGTGAAGTCGGCCAAGTGAATTAAACAAACACCCTACAATTATGAGTGCCGTCAAAATTTGCCCCGCTATTATTAAAGCTAGCAAAGACCAAATTACACGCTTTGGTCGCTGAGTTTATCATAAAATTTCATTTTTGACACATATTTTTTTTCTTTTCTTACTAGTCACTAACTTTACATTGTTCCTTATTCTATAGGTTTGCACTTTTACCTAATCTATGGGAAGCATCATCTCTTGATCAATGATTATATAATGATAGTCCGTATGAGCTAATTGTTCAATACTTTTTTACTTGTTGTAGTTTGTTACATGGGTCGTGAGTATGAACTTAGTTTCCGTATGAATATGTGCTCTTTGTCAAACACAATTCTAAAAGAAGGATAATCACACAAACACCGAGATTTACATGGTATCCTCAACGTATATCGCAATGTTGTCAAAACCGAACCGGACAATAATCCGGATCAAGGAGAGGTTCAAGGTTTACCGGATAACCGGTAGTTAACCGGTATTAACAACCGATCATAAACCGGTTGGCCTAATTGATAGAGCTACAATTGCAAAGTATAAAATCATTATTGTTTTTTCTCTATTTATGAAAATATCTTCACTCTATGTCTGTACATATTAGAAGAAAAAAGAATATAAAGACAATCACAAATTGCCAAAATTGAAAAGTAGAAGGTATAGTAGTGAAATGGGAACATGATAATTGTTTTCCTTTTCTAATTTTTACCGTAATAATCACTTTCTTTTTTCTTATATGTTGCTTTGTTCTTTATTTTTAACATTTAATGGAAAGAAAGCTCAAAATCATGCATTCATTTGTTTTTCTTATTGAAAAATTATAGGAAATTGAACAAAATCGCCAGTTCGATTTGCTCGATTTTGCCAGTTGTACCTGTCGTTACCCGACCGGGACATTCCCTTCTCGCTTTTAGGCTTCCGGGACCGGATTAGTGCCCGGTCCGGTTTTTACCAGTCTGATCGGCCGATCCAGTACAGTTTTAATAACAATGGTATATTGTTAAGACTAATCCACGAAGAGGAGCAACCTCTCAGAGTCAATTGTATTCCACCGAGAATCCTTAGGTTACAATGTGACTAGCATCACCTATTTAAGCTAGTCATCCCAAACCCTTTCTCTGGACAAATCCGAAAATATAACCCTTATAACCCCAGAATTATGGCAAATTACAATTAACTCATTAATACTTCGACACCCTCCCTGAAATTGATGATGCTTACGCAACATCAATTTGTAAGCCAAAAACCAGTGTCGCGAGGATGCGACAGCCTTAGTCAGCAAGTTAATTGTTTGATCCTCCGAAGTAATATAAGCCAGCAACCGGGTCACAGGAGTCCATATGCGCCTGCTCAAGAAGATCAAAGATATACTTATGTTGATTAACAAGCAGTCCAGCCGACGAACGATGAACCTCAAGACCTAAAAAATACGAGACATCCCAAAATTCCTTCAGAATAAACGCTGTACGCAGAGAATGATGAGATATTTAATGCCAGCGACATCATCACCACTGATTAACATATCATCGACATAAATAAGCAGAACTGTGATTCCCTGTGCAGACCGGCAAAGAAATAGAGAAGGGTCATTATCACTTTGAGTGAACCCAGCCTGCATGATAGTGTCATGGAACTTCTCGAACCAGGCACGGGGTGCTTGTTTCAAACCGTAAAGAGACAGACGAAGAAAGGACACCTTAAATTTATCTCCAGACAAATAACCCGGTGGGCACTCCATATAGACAATTTCCTTAAGTTCCCTATGAAGAAATGCATTCTTCACATCAAGCTGTTGTAACCGCCATCCCTTAAGAGCCGCTACTGCAAATAGGGTACGAACGGTTTGCATCTTTTCCACCAAGGCAAAAGTTTCCTCATAGTCGATGTCAAACTCATGTCGAAAACCTTGCGCAACCACCCATGCTTTAAACCTTTCAAGAGACCCATCAGGACGTAGTTTAATGTTATAAACCCACTTAGAACCAATGACATGAACATTAAGAGGACGAGGTACAACGTCCCAGGTATGATTTTCTTCCAAGGCGTGCATCTCAATGTCCATGGCATTGTCCCAATGTGGAATCCCATGACTTGCTCATAACTAGCCGGGATGCGGGTGTAGTCCTTGAAGAAGGTCACAAAATCAGACATGTGGGTAGCAGGATGCCCTTTGTTGGCGCAAAGAGAGGGACAAGGAGCTGGAGGATCGTCGCCACCAAGGTGCAGGTCTAAATCACCCATACCCACCACACTCTGATTGTCCAAAGGAGGGGAAGAGTTCCCGACCGAAGAAGACGAAGACTCCCCTCGTGAAGTCGAGGAGGAACGCCCGAGAGAGTCAAAATGGGAGGAGTCTAGGGGAACAATTAGGCTCGTCGTGGAGGAAGATACATCAAGATGCAAAGAGAGCTCTGAAGGTAGTGTAGACGGCGGATCAGGAGCATCAGCCGGAGCCAAGGAAGCAGCTGGAAAAGTTGGTGAGGAATGAAGAAACTATATAAAAAATGCCCCATTACAAGATATCTGAATCCGACGATTGGGCACATCATAGCAAGCATACCCTTTATGTTTATCGCTATAGCCAATAAAAACACACTTGATTGCCTTAGGTGTGATACCTCGACTTCGATAGGTTCAACATCAAGTACTGAATCAGTTGGACCAAACAAATTGAGCCAAAATTTTGTCACATCACACCCTGGGCCCAAGTTGGAAAATTCTGAAAAAGGTCGTGAGCCACTCAAGGTTACACAGGTGCTACAAGCTAAGGAATTACAAATGATCAAGGGTTACCAACGAAGTTGTTATGGTAAGAATAGATGATCGTGGAAAGGAAGTATAAGAAGGGTGTTGATAGAAGGATGAGTTCCGAGCAAATTTCGGGGACGAAATTTTTATAAGGGTGGAGGTACTGTTACACCTATAGGTGTCAAAACATAGCCCGACCCGATTAACCCGCCCGATCAACCCGACCCGCAACCCAACCGCAACCCGAATTGACTAAAAGTCAACAACCCGTAACCCGCCCGACCCGCAACCCGATTGACCCGCAACCCAACTAACCCGCAACTCGACTAACCCGTAACCCGATTAACCCGAACCCGATTGACCCGCAACCCGACTGACCCGCAACCCGATTAACCCGAACCCGATTGACCCGAACCCGACTAACCCGTAACCCGACCGACTCAACCCGAATTTCATCTAATCCACTTGAATAATTATAAAAAAATATAATACATAGTTTTTCAAAATAAAGTTTTTCATTCTAAACTTAAGTAAATTTATTTTTTCATTTCGCATAAGAAATTTTAAAAATATGAAACTCACTTGATATTACGTATTTTAAGAAAATTACAAAAATTGAAACATGAAGGTCACTTGAGATCATGACATTATTAATATAATATATAAATTAAAATTTTGGTTAATTTAACTATTCAATAAAATTATCAATTCAATATAAATAAAGTAAAGTAATGTATTTGGTAATTTGATGTTTTTAAAAGAAGAGGGAAATTTTGGTGTATTCAAGTTTTTGGGAAGAGAAAGAAGAGGGACATTTGGTTCTTTGAATTTTTTAGAAAAGAAACAAGTGAGAATTTTGGTGGTTTTGATATGTGGGAAGAGAAAGAAGTGGGAAAGTTTGATTCTTTTGATTATGAAAGAGGAATAAGGAGGGAAACTTTTGACTTTTCAACTTTTTGTAGAAGGCAAGAAGAGGATAATTTGGTTCTTTCAATTTTATGGAAGAGAAAGAGGATGGAAAATTGAGTTTTTCTAATGTATGGAAGAAGAAAGAAGGAGGGAAATTTTAGTATTTTTGTGAAAAGAAAGAAGGAAACAAATTTGGTGTTTTCAATTTTTTGGTTTTTCATAATTTTAGCTTTTGAAATATGAATCTTTAACTTTTATATGGAGGGCATGACTAGTTAAAATTATTCTTATATGCTTTGAATGCTAATATGTATATATGTATGTAATTTTTTATGGGCTAATAAATAAATTAACCATTAGTTACAACAATTATACTAAACTTGATAAGTAATCTTTGACGGTTCGTTGTTTAGGATATAAAGTATATGGTTAGGGTATAAGGTATAATGTACATATGGTTTAGGGTGTATATGGTTAGGGTATAAGATATTGATGGTTTTGACGGTTATAAGTTTTTTATTAACATATGTTCACTTGATGTCATTTGAAGTCTTTAACGATAGGAGATCCCTTTTTAATTTATGTTATGGTACGTGGTTAGGGTACAAGGTATGTGGTGTAAAGTATAGGATATATGGTTAGGGTATAACAATTAGCAAATATCACTTTTTATCTATGTTTTGAAAATCAAAGTATGAATTTCACTTTTAAATTAACTATACTAGAAAAATCACAACTCAAAGACATATGATTAGGGTATAGGTTATGTGGTTAGTGTATAATGTATTGATGGTTTAGGGTATACAATCAACAACATATACTAACTTAATATTGTTGATTGAGGGTAAAGCTAAGTGTATAGGATATATGCTATTGAGTAAGTTATGATTGAAGTCACAATAATTTTACTAAATTTGATAGCTAATCTTTAATGGTTCAATTTTTAGGATAATTCGAACAATTTTACAAATAACTCGTTTGGCAACAGTTTACTATAAAGTTATTTGGGCAATGAGTTATTTTGAAATAACTCCTTTTATCACTATGCTTTTGCCAAATACCACACGCAATACCAGATTTGCATGGTTATACTAAACGAGATACTTTAATCCAATTACTACTGAATCAATACTAAAATATCAAATAAAAAATTAACGGTGTCTTTTGGTTGCAAATATTGATATCACCATTACTATTAGCTATAATACTTACCAATTATGATTAATT